GGCTACGAGGAATTTTGCCGTAGCCCTTGCTTCTGGCACTGCCATCGCCTGCCACAAGTGCAGCCCCGGCCCAGCCCCCTTGCTGGGAAGAGGATGGTGCAGCACCTGGCCCCAAGCCCGCAGTGGGCAGCCCACCCTTGCCCTGCACACAAATCCAGGGGGGCACATGCCCACTGTGTCTTGTCCAGGGTTGTGCACAGCAGCAAGGAGACACCCCTCTCCCCACCCCACCATGCCCACTGCACAAGCCGCCTGCGGCTCCATCCTGCATTCCAATCCAGCTGGGCAGCATCTGCCCCTGCCCCGCTCCCTGCCTCACCATGGGGGGCCTCAATCTGCCTCTGACCATACCCCTCCCCTCCTCTCTGCCCCTTACCCTCTGCAGATTTAGTGGCTGGACATTGCTCTCTAAGCTGTTGGGCTGCATTCCTGGCCACGTGCAAGCTGCAGCTGTGCACGTGAACGTGGCATTTATCAGTGTCATTATCAGTTACACCCGGCAAAAAAAGCCGATTGCTGATAATGTTAATTTCCCTTTTATTGGTGCCGAGCCGATATGGAGCAATATATTGGCACACCTGTAGTTGGAGATTAGAAGGTATTTTCTGACTGTAAGGGTGGTCAAGCATCAGAACAGGCTACCTAGAGAGCTTGTGGGCTCTCCATCCTTTACAGTTTTCAAGAGCAGGTGAGACTGACACTTGACTGGGATGGTTAAATCAGGGATGTTCCTGCCTTGAGCAGGGGGCTGTACTAGATGACCTTGTGAGGTCTCTTCCACCCCAACATTCCTATGATCCTACATAAGGTTTCCATTCTTACTTTCCTTTACCAGTAGCTCAGAGCTTTCTCCTGTTTCCTTTGGGCTGTACACGTCCATGCTTGCCCTCAGGCCAAATTTTCTGAACTTGTACATGGTATGAGCTCACTGGAATTGGAGAATAACTCGATGTTACAAACGTGTTTTCTCCATCAGCTCCAGCTTTAACAACCAAGCTAGGTTTGAAGAGAATAAACTCCACAAATTCCATTTGGTACTTGGGTGCACACTTGCTAAAAAATGCCCTGACTAGATTTCTGTTTTGCTTTTAAATGAGTGCACAAGGGGATAGTGAAGATGAGAAAACATATTCAAAATACTATGTACAAAGTGGGGAGACAAAACCAGAAGTGCGTAATGAAAATATTTCAAAAGGGGCTTGGCTGGCATCATACATGCGTTAGGCACTGTGGTAATGATGATGGAAAACCCGGCTGCAGGCTCTGCCCAGTGGCAGGCTCCTTCAGGGGCAGGGGACACTGGTGCACTTGCACCCCTCTTTGACTCCTGCACCACCCAAAGTATAAAACCAACTGCCTGGCCATGACAGCAGCATTTCTCGTCAGGCAGCACTGAGGGTGTCACTTGACTTCATGGCTCATTATAATCTACCTGACCCCTTCTACATTCTTCATCCCACCGGTATTAAAGACCCTCTCTTCTTTTTAATGGTCTTGAGGGTCCACCCGCCAAGCTATCCTTTGTTCTGCAATGCTGTTGTCTGTCCACTGCTCCTGGTGAGGAAGCTCCTGTTTCACAGCCCCCAAGATTGGTTTGAACTCACTCCAATTATATTGTGTTTATTTTCACTTCCATCTGCAAGGGCATTAGACAGCCCTCAGCCTACCTAGCCTGTTAGTAAAGCTTCTGGTTTCTTTTTTAAAGTTTCTAGTTTTCTTTTCTGGACAGAAATATGTGCCACGTTCTAGGTGATAACGCCCCTCACCATCTACACCCCACTTTTTAAAATCCATGTGCTCATCTCTCTACCAGTGCACCCACTTCTCCATGCCCTGGCCACCTCCGCTGTAAGGGCTGACTAGGCGGTGCCTCCTTGACGGCCCACAACCTCCTCACCAGCTGCAGGGGAGGAAAGCTACTGGAAGGTGGTCCCTGAGATGCCCCCTCCCGCTGCTGGCCAGCCAGCCCCAGGACACCAGTTCACCAGCAGCACTGGGCATGATGGGAGCAACTGGCATGTTGCTATGTCACCCCATGTGTGCTCTGCACACACCCCAGCCTCGTGCACTGAGGGGACCCGGCCCCATGCCCAGGTCCCTTTGCTCTCTGACACTGCAGCCACCAGCACTAGGACCCAACCCCTCACAAAGATGGCGCCCGCCTCCTACACTCGTCCCTCACAAAGATGGCGCCCGCTTTCCAACCGCGCCCCTCACAAAGATGGTGGCGAGGGCGGCCCGCTAGAGAGCTCCCTCTGCCCCTCACCAAAGATGGCGGTGGTTTTGCCTCGTGCCCCTCCCAAAGATGGCGGCAAGCGCCTCGGGCTCTGTTTCCCCTAGCTAGTGGCAGTGCGTGGCAGTTCCGAGCCGGGGGCGCTGTGCGCATGCGCGGCCCAGGAGCCGCCGGGACCATGGTCAAGAAGAGACGAGAGGGGCTGCGCGTGGCCCGGGAGGTGAGGCGCTGGTGTCGGGCGGGGGCAGTATGTGCATGAGCAAGTGCAGGGGGGAAGTGGAGGGTGCCGAGCTCTGCCCCAGACCCCCCCCCCCAAGCGTCCTTTGCTCTAGGGTCACTTCTGCTGTCCCCTGCGGTGCTGCAGCCCCCAAGCCCTGGGGTGGACAGGGTGCCTCCTACGGGGTGTGCCAGCAATGCCCCATCTGCTCCTGCGTCTTTTTCCCTCCTGGTTTTCTGGCTGAGCAAGTGATGGGACTTGAGGCTGGGGTCTCTCTCCTGGCCGGGGCAGGTATTTTTCAGCTGGTTGAAATTCCCCTGGCTTGGAGGCCATGGTGTCCTGGTTTAAGCAGAAGCCTGTGGTCAGCCAGAAACCCTCCAGAGCCAGCGGGCCAGGGTGTGAAAGCAGGCCCTAGCAATTGCCAAGCCCCTGGGACTGGCCCTACCAGACAGCTGCTGAGCCAGGGTGGCTTTGTAGGAAAGCCGCGGGGCTCCCTGCCAGAGCTGCATCCTGCTGTCCAGCCTAGGAAACTCTGCCCGGGCCTGGCTTGGCATCTGTCACCTGTTCTAGGATCTGAGGAACTCGCAGAGCAGCGAGAAGGCTCTGACCTGCAGAAAGCACGTGCACCACCCTGTACCTTCTGCCTGCTGCTGTAGTGCATTTCCCCCTTGTTGGCTTCACTGCTGTAGCAGGGGCACATGGGTGGGAATATGCTTTGGTGGCTTCCACGTGATGGCTGCTGTCCGCCAGCAGAAGTAGCCTCGTGTAGGCAGAGTCTTAGACAGACACAAGCAAAATCACTCGTACTGGAGGCCTCTGGAGAAGGGCACTCGCAGTGGATTATGGAGACCACTTGCAGCCCTGCCCTTACCAGCTGCCCTGTAGTTAAAAAAGCCAGCCTGGCCTATGTAATTAATCTCTCCACAGCAAGGGCCAGCATGGATGCAGCTTAATCCTAATGAAAAGCTCTACAGTATTAAACCAGCATATGTGCATGACAGATGTCAGTGTTTGTAAGTAAGGAGTGGGAAAAGGGACTATTTTAAATGAAGAGTCTCCTATTTGGGGATTTCCTGATCTTCAAGATTGTAGAAGGTGCCTGTTGTTGCTAAACCTCATTTATGCTTGTTCTCCACCTCCTCAGAACCTGGAGACTGGTCTCTGCCTCCAGATTCCCAGAAATGGTCACCCAGAGCACCAGCCTTCTTGCCAGGCCCCTTCTGAAAACCCCCGTTGGTGGTGTCGGTAGTGGAGGTGCCCTGGGTGTGCCAAAAGATGGTCCTGGCCAACATCACCCATATCAGGGGCCTTCTGGACTGTGCCAGGCAGAGATTGGCAGATTCTGCTGAGCTGGCCATGGAGTTGCCCACTCTGCATGTGCCCTGCCTCCTACTCCAGGATGTTGAGGCCACCACGCTGCTCTCGCCTACATTAACCAGGTCCTGTGCAAGGGCAGTCCCCATGCCCCAGTGTCCACCAGCCCTCTGGAGCTTGTCATTAGCAACTGCCTTGGCAGGCCCCATGGCACTCCCCACCTCACCATCTTAGCAGGCTGGGGGGCACCAAGCTGGTCCACTTTTGAACCACCCACTGCCACCAGCTCTACACACTTCTTCTCTGCGCCACCCACCATTATGTTCTCGCATCTTGCCCAGACAACAAGTGGCAGGACACCCTAGGTGGGGGTGGGGGCAGGGGCCTCCAGTGGACAAGTCTGTACTCCACCTTGATCCCATGAGCCACTGGGAACCTCAGCTGGTGGCTCCTCCACAGAGCCATTGACACAGGCCTGTGTCTGGTATGGTTCATGGATGCCCCTAACACCTGCCTGTTTTGTGAGCAGAGGGAGACCCTGGCACATGCCTACTTGGAGAGTGCCAGGCTGCAGTCCCTGTACTGCCTCCTCCAGAACCCCTTGCTGCATGTTCCCTGCTGCTTACTCCACGAGGTAAAGGCTGCCTTGCTGCCCACTGCCCCCATCTATATCAACCAGGTCCTGTACACGGGCAGTCCCCACCCCTGGTATTCCCCAGCTCTCTAGAGCTAGTCATGGGACTACTGCCTCAGCAGGCCCCACTGCTCCCTGCCCCACCATCTTAGTAGGCTGGGGGATACAAAGCCGGTCTACCTTTGAACAGCCCACCACTGCCAGCTGTACAGGCTTGTGCTCTGCATAAGCCATCATCCCATCCTCGTATCGAACCCCAACAACAAGTGGCAGGACACCCTATGTGACGGTGGAGGCGAAGGTCCTTGGTGGACAAGTCTGTATTCCACCTTGATCCCATGAACCACCAGGGACCTCAGCTGGTGCCTCCTCCATGGAGCCATCACCACAGGCGTGTATCTGGCGCACTCTAGGGAGTCCCCCTTTTGCCAATAGAGGAAGACCCTGGCCCATGGCTACCTCGAGTGTGCCAGGTTGCAGCGCCTCTTTTGCCTCCTCCAGAACCTCCTGCTGAGGTTTTGCCTGCACTTCTTCCTGCACCATGTTTTGTTATGCATTCCCCATCTGTGGTCCCACCAAGCCCTGGGACCTCCTGCTCAACTGCCAAGCTGGCCATCTACAACAGCAGTTCTCAGCCTTTTGCACCTTACATCCCACCAACTGTTTTGTCAAAAACCGTGGTCCCACCATGATAAAAACAAAGTTCCACAAAATTGCATTGTTCAAGATATCTGTTGATTCATCTACTTGAAGTGCAAACAACTGATTTTTTTCAATCTGGCAATGAGTTGAAGTCCCACCTACACGACCTTCGAGTCCCACTGGTTGAGAAACACTGTTCTACAAGACCAGAAAGAAGGCTCTGGCTGGGGGAACCCAGATGAGTGTGAAGCCGTCTTCCCATCACTCCTCCGCTCATGTCACCAGGCCGAATTTCACTGGTCAGCATCCACAGGCTCCCTTGACTTGTTCAGGGGATGGTGTGGTCTGCTTGGTGTCCCCTTCTGGATCCCTTGTTATTAACGTATCACTTTGCTTCTATTCCTGATTTCCTTTTAGTTGCCCCAAGAAATCAGTTGATATGTCCCCTGTGGCCTCCCTTATTAAGGGAGACTTATAGTTTTTTGTGATGGGCTTAAGCCCATGACCACATCAAATAGGCCTGTGGTATTTTAGATGGCAGGGTAGTGCTTTATAGACTAGCTAAATCGGAGGTATATAGCATGAGCTTTTGTGAGCCTGAGCTTACTTCATCAGAAGCTGTGAAAGGACATACACAGCATGTTTTCTCCCCCCGTCTCCCTCCTTCCCTCCCCTGTCTTTTGCATCCAAATCACTCTCTTTGATGTGCTGCTCTGTGCATGTCTTTTTGCAGCATCTGATGAAGTGATCTTAGGCCCACAAAATCTTATGCTGTACGCCTCTGATCTAGTTACCCTGTAAGGCACAAATCTACCCTGTCTACCACTGCTAATTACCTTTCTCTGTGGTATTTGTGCCAAGGTTTCTTTGAAGCAGCATTTTCTGCTGGGCCTTGGACTAGCCAATATTTTCGCAACTGGTTTGGATGAGACAATGATGGGTCCGCGGCTCAACCCGGACGATTGTAGATGATTTGGGAAATGGGATCAGAAGTTGATATGTTCCTAATGAATAGAAGACCTGGACCAGAACTAGTCAGAATGAGTAGAGAGAAAGATGAGGAAACAGAGGTGTGATTAATTGAGCATATACAAAGCAGACAAATACAGGCAGGGCAAGAGCACCTGTGGAAAGGATTTGGGGCTTGTAATTGCTGCTTTGTGTGCCACAGTGTTGAAAGAAGCCAAAGCCCTGTTGAACTACTTTGATAGGAGCACAGCGTGTGGTAGTTTTCTTCTCTGCCTAGCCATGGTTAGGCATCCAGTTAGAGACAGCAGTTGTCTGTGGGCACCAGATTTCAGTGGTAACAGACAAACAGGAAGTTTAGAGAGTGAATGAAAAAAGGCTTGGACAGTAAGCTGTAACAGGAAGAGTTGAGGGAACTGATTTAGATGTTCAGTCTGAAGATGGGACAGCCAAGCTGAGACATAATAGTGCCTTCCCTCTCTGAGAAGGCAGCTTATAAAGAGAGTGTGACCCAATTACACCTGTGGGAGGAGGAGGGATGGAGCATTAGCTGCATTAGCTGGCAGCGTAGCAGGCAATTCCAGTTAGGTTTTGGAGGGCAGGACTGTTACAGCCTGAGACTTGACATCTGTCTACCAATGTGTGCCTTAAATACTGAAATCCTTCCTGCTGCAGTCATGAATGGGTGGACATGCACACAGACACATGCACGTGGAAGGCCCTTCTTAAAGCTAAATATTTATGAACGGTAAAACCTCGCAGTCTCTTAAAGCCATAGAGACTGAAGTCTGAGTTTTCAGAATGAAATACCCAAACACCTTACAGCCACAGTTTTACTAAATAATTGTAATTGTTCATTTGTCAACATCATTACCTACCTAACATGCCTTTATGACAGTTAAATGCACTTTCCGTATGGGACTGAATATAACCTGAAGCAAGGCTGTCTTTCTAAGGCCTGTCCCAAACACAGAGTTATGCTGATTTAGCTAAAGGTGTGATGATGACACACAAATGTGACTTTGCGCCTGGACATACAGCATGTTTACACCAGTGTATTTTAAGCTACCTTTTGCACACCAGTGTAAATTACAACAGGATCTGGAGTAGAGACACAAGCAGCCCTTCTGGGATATGACAGCACCTCACCACTGTGTGGCAAGGGAGAAGTTAACAGATCATTTGTACTGAGCAAATGGCTACAACCCCCCAGATAACGCTGCAGACATAAGATACACTGGTGTAAGTTTAACCCCTAATTTTTCCTGCAGTAGTTCTGCATTAGAGTCAAGAAAGTCATTGCGTAGAGCTGTTTGTTGCGTGTCCGCTCCATTTTTTTTAAGCAGGGGAAAAGGTTGATCACATCGAGGTAAAGATGTGTCCAAACCCTTTGTGGACATCGTTGCTTCTTCTTAAACCTGGCAAGCAGTGGTTCTGCTTACAAAGC